GTGTTCATGCCACTGCACTCCAGCCTGGGTGACAGAGCAAGACCCTGTCTCAAATAACAAAAATAAAAATAATATACAAAAATGAAGGGACTCACAGTCTTCACAGTTTTTTAAGTTCTTGATTTTTAAATTTTACAATAGATCTTGAATAATATTTCATTTTTGTCCCTGGAATTCTCCATCCCTCTTTAACTGTTGCACAGATTTCCTCAATGCCGGGGTGAGCTGAGAACTAAAAAGTGTGCGTAGCAGACTGTAGTAGGGTAGCCAGGTACACTGGCTCACGCCGTAATTCCAGCACCTTGGGAGGCAGAGGCAGGCAGATCACAAGGTCAAGAGATCAAGGCCATCTTGGCCAACATGGAGAAACCCTGTCTCTACTAAAAATACAAAAATTAGCTGGGTGTGGTGATGCATGTAAGGCAGGTTGCCTCCTGGGAGCTCGGACATGCCCATCCCTCTCCACACCTGAAATTACGTCACCAGAATCTGCACTCAGCATCTAGCTTCCCCACACCCACCTCTGCACTCAACACTAAACTCTGCACTCGGCACCTAGCCCGCCTTTGGAAATCCCCTCTGCACTCAGCACCAGGATCTGCACTCAACATTAAACTCTGCACTCGGCACCTAGCCAGCTGTTGGAAAACCCCGCCAAAATTTAAAAGAAGCCCCGCCACGACCTGCCCAATAGCGTGTTGCCCCGTCCAGCCCACTCACTGGAAATCCCTCCTACCTACTTATAGCAGCTTGCCACGACCACGTCCTGTTTCTCCACAGCCAATCAGAGCACCTTCCCTCCCTATATAACCCCAAGCCTTAGAGGAGTCAGGCTGACTTCCCTGGCCTCTTCACCCGGGACCACAGAACCTTGCCTGGGAGCCAAATAAATTGGCGTCCAATTGTTCTCACGCAGGCCTCAGTTTTCTCATTTTAAAATCGGCAACAGACCTCACAGAGAATAAACCTTACAGTGCACACCTGTACTCAGGAGGCTGAGGCTGGAGAATCGCTTGAATCTAGGAGTCGGAGGTTGCAGCGAGTCAAGATATGCCACTGCCCTCCAGCCTGGCAACAGAGCAAGACTCCATCTGAAAACAAACAACTGTAGTGAGAAGTTTGGTGGAGGGTTCTAGAAAGGAAGAGCTGTTATTCTAACTGTGTAGTGGGGGGCCCCATCTCCCCGCCTCTGTTCTGGATGGCAGAAGTGGCCCAGGGAGGGCAAAGATATTTTGGATATAACCCCAAAAGTAAAGGCAGACAAATAGGATTACATCAAACTAAAATGCTTATGAAAAATAAAGGAAACAATCAATAGAGTGAAGAGATAACTTACAGAATGGGAGAAAATATTTTGGAACTGTACATCAGATGAGGATCTAATATTGAAAACATAGACATACCTTAAAGATACTGCAGGTTAGCTTCCAGACCACCACAATAAAGTGAGTCACACAATTTTTTTGTTTTTGTTCCAGTGCATATAAATGTAATGGGTACAAGGCTGGGCACAATGGCTCATGCCTGTAGTCCCAGCACTTTGGGAGGCCGAGGCAGGGGAATCACTGGAGCTCAGGAGTTCCAGATCGGCTTGGACAACATGACAACACCCGTTTCTACACAACACACAAAAATTAGCAGGGCATGGTGGCTTGTGGACCTGTGGTCCCAACTTCTTAAAAAGCTGAGGCAGGAGGATCGTTTGAGCCCTGGAGGCAGAGGTTGCAGGGAGCCAAGATTGCACCATTATAATCCAGCCTGAGCAACAGAACAAGCACCCATCTCAGACTCAAAACGAAAACAATGTGTAAAACAAAAAGTTATGGGTATCCTATACTGTAGTCTGTTAAGTTTGCAATAGTATTGTCTTTTAAAAACAATATATGGTGATGGATCACGCGCCTGACCAGCCCTGCGCAGCCTTCCCTCTGGCCTACCTGACTGCGATGCGTCTCTCCTTCTCCACGCCTCGTGGCCGGCAGCAGCCCTCCAGCTTTGGCTCGGTGGACTGGCTCTTCCAAAGCAGCTGCCCAGGGCCGACCCACACCCCCAGGCCTACCGGTGTCTCCCCAGGAGCCTCCTTGTCCGGGGCCAGATATCCGGCACCCAGGAGCCCCTCAGGCCGTCAGCATCGAGGAATCTAGGTCCTCAAATCTGCCTGCTCCGGAGAGGACTGTGGCTTCCTTCCCCACGAAGCACATCAGCGCCCTGAAAGGCGACTTCCGGCACCACCGGTACCGGGGCCTTCTGGACCGGAAGAGGCTGGCCAGGGAAATGCCGCTCTCAGAGGTCCAGATAAAAACCTGGTTTCAAAATCGCCGGATGGAACACAAACGGCAAATGCAGGACTCCCAGCTGAACAGCCCCTTCTCAGGGTCTCTCCATGTGCCCTGGACTTTCCACTCACCATCTTCTGGCCTTGCCAATGGCCTGCAGCTGCTGTGTCCTTGGGCACCCCTGCCGGGGCCCCAGGCTCTGATGCTGCCCTCTGGCTCCTTGTGGGGTCTCTGCCAAGTGGAACAAGATGCCTTGGCCTCTGCGTGGGCTTTCTGCTGCGGGCAGCCTCTGGCGTACCACCTCCCCAAGCCCAGGAAGTGGTGTGCAGACCCTGGGACCAGCCCTGTCCATGGGGCCCTGGGGCCTGTGTGCTCTACCAAAGACAGGTGATTCATTTTGTGGAAGCGACTCTGACTCCTTGCTTCCTACCCATGTGGTCTGTGCAGACAGGATCTGGCATTTCCCTGCAGGACTCAGCTGTTCTTCCTACATGCAGGAACCTGCCCCAACCCACACTCCACCAGGCAGGCCAAGCCTGAAGGCAGACAGAGGGTCAAGTAAGGAGTCCCAGCAGGAATGAAGCCCTGGCCTCCTGTCACTCAAAGCTGTTTCACAGGAGGAGGGAAGGATGGAAATAAACAAACGCCGCACCTCTTTTTATATAAGGTTTCATGTTTATTTTGGACAAAATTTATGAACATATGAGCTTTGCATATATAACCAGGCGTTATGTGCTATTTGGCCTGGGTATAAAGGAAAACCAAAACAAACAAATTAACACTAAAAACTCCCAACAATTTCATATTGTCAGGAGGCTTACTTTAAAAGAATAAGCTTAACCAACACTGATAAGGCTGATATTCTAAATGCATCTTCAAGGAAGGCCTCTGCACAAGGGACAAGGGAGCTGGGACCAGACTGGCTCCCTCTGGGCTCTGAGGCCGAGCGTACTGCACCGAAGGCCTAGGAAAGGCAAAGACCAGGAGGCAGCAGTACCCTGTGCCTTCCAGAAGTGCAGGGGACAACACGTGGGACACCAGATGGAAGTGGGAGAGGACAGAAGTGCCAAGACCAGAAGGACCACCCCCTCCCCCTCCCAAAACTCCACGGACACAACACTCTGAATGTGCCAAAATCTTCAGGGAATTCTAACTGTCCCAGCCAAACCAGTCCCGGAACAAGAGAGCACGCAATGCTTTGAGACGGAAAACATGGAAACTCCTAAAATGACTATAACTGTAAATTATCCTACCACGACTGTACTACTGTGGAGAAGAGTTTGCTGGAAAGAGGCTAAAATGATTACTGAGGCTTTTAGGTAAAAGAGTAGAATGGAAACAAGAACAAAGCATTAATGCGTCAGCCATTCTAGGTCCCGTTGTCACAATGTTTAAGAATTGGTATTTCTGAGTTGAGTCAGATGGTTACAGAGGGGCCAAGCACCTCAAACAGGGAATCCGTACCCTAAAATGCTGCCCAGGGGCTCAGGGTCACAGAGCGTCAGAAGCGAGAGGGGCCGTCCACTCCTAAGTCAGCAACCATTTCACACCATTCCCAAACACCATCCACTCTTCCCCCTTGATGCCATGAAAGATGCTGGGGCAGATGAACACCCGCTCTGCCCTGAGCCCAAAGGATGCCCAAGATTCACTCATGTGCAGCTGTAAGGGCACTTGACAGAAAAGCTGTTCACAGTCTCAGATCTCACTGTCCTTATCTGCTGTGGACAAGCTGGAAGATGCAGTCTCATGCCTGTCCCAGAAGGACCGACCAGACACATGGCTTCCCATAGATCCCACCCTCTCCAAAATCCTGGGCATATGTAAACATCTACTTATAAATAAATACATGTTTAAAAATATTTATAAATAAATACCGCTATACACCTCTAAACTTATCAAGTAAGACAGGCTGGCCCCTTGAGAAGCTGCCAGCCATCAAACCCTGGTCCAGTCACAGGGCGTGGGAGGAGACCTGGAACACAGGCACTGCCTCCCACAGAAGGAGGATTTCTCCCTCTGTCGCTACTTATATTTCCAGTCATTTGTGACTGCTGGTTTGCATCCAGGCAACCCAGGTAAACAGCCTATTAAGTGCATTTCTTAGAGTTTTTCCATGCTTACATCATTATATAAAAAATCAGAAAATGAAACATGTACATGATATAAATACTAAGCAGTACAAATGTTTCTCTACTTCAGGGAGGTAAGTCCCAATAATCCTATCTTAAAGCTCAAAACTCAAAGTTAAACCCTCTTAAGTCCATATGCTCATGACTTAGCATGGGGCTTTGTCTTGGTAATCTCATCATTAAGTCAAAAATATCCTAAACTGAAAATGCAGGTAATAGCCAGATCACCCAGTTCTAAAGTTAAAAAATTGTAAAGCAAACCATCGTGGCTGTGCAGCATCTGTAGTTAGATGGAATTAATGCACACACCAGCAGGGATGGAGCTCACAATACAAGAAATAGGAAAAAAGACTAGTCTCATGATGAAGAACTGAAATTAATGACATCTTAAAACCACTTTATTTCTTTTTGAGATGGAGTTTCACCATGTTGCCCAGACTAGTCTCAAACTCCTGAGCTCAAGTAATTCACATGCCTCAGCCTCCCAAAGGTATAGGTTTACATGTGTGAGTCAATGCACCTGGCCTAAAATGCCCTTAATACACAATCGTATAACTCAGTGCCCCAAAGAATGTTATATAAATTTCTGCAGTTTGCTTATCACACACAATATTTTATAAAAATTACTCCAAGTGCATTGACAAAGTGGTAAGACCTCAGGTAAGCTGCACCATACTGGACAGTAGAGTTTGCTGAGGCGTGGGTCAAGCACTGGACTGTCTCTTCCAGGCTTCCTCCCTTTGTAAGAGAAAAGGTAAACCAGAGAAGCTCTGGTTTCCTGAAGAGATTGTTTCACAGGCAGGACGTAGAGGGCCTGCATCACCTTCTTCATAGAGAAGCTTTTCGGCGCCCACCAGTTGGTCCTGAATTGTTTCCCTCATGTGTCCTTCTTCCAGTGTCACCGAGGCATCCAGCAAGGTGTTGACTGAGAAGAGAGAAGAAGAGACTGAGGGTCTTGATGCTCCAGGGACAATCAGCCCAGGATCGGCATAGGACCCTGCGCTTGTGGCAGTGAGTGCCCCAAAAGAGCTCTCAGCTATGGGGATAGTGGGTAGGATTGTCCCTATTCCCTGCCCTCCTGCTGTGTCTCCAGGCACAACACACTTACTCTCAGTGGGGTCAGCGTCATTCACTAGAACCTGCAGCCTCCTCCTCTGACACCCTTCGGCTTCTGACTGTCCCTGTAACACGCACTCCTACTTTTCACCATATACACAAATTAACTCAAGGTGGATTAAAGGTTTAAAAAGTAACACCACGAACTATAAGAATCCTAGCAGAAAACCTAGAAAACACCCTCTGGACATCAGCCATGGCAAAGAATTTATGATTAAGTCCTCAAAAGCAATGTACCAAAAACAAAAATTGTCAAGTGGGATTTAATTAAACTAAAGACCTTCTGCACAGCAAAAGAAACTATCACCAAAAATCAACTATTAACAGGCTGGACGCGGTGGCTCACACCTATAATGCCAGCACTTTGGGAGGCCAAGGCAGGCAAATCACCTGAGGTCAGGAGTTCAAGACCAGCATGGCCCAACTCACTAAAAGTACAAAAATTAGCCGGGCATGGTGGTGCATGCCTGCAATCCCAACTTCCACGGAGGCTGAGGCAGGAGAATCACTTGAACCTGGGAGGTAGAAGCTGCAGTGAGCCGAGATCATGCCACTACACCCCAGCCTGTGTTACAAGGAAGACCCTGCATCAAAAAAAAAAAAAAAAAAAAAAAAAAAAAAAAAAAAAAAAAAAAGAGTCAGGTGCAGTGGCTCGCAATTCTAATCCCAACACTTTGGGAGGCCAAGGTGGGCAGATCACATACAAAACTTAGCTGGGCATGGTGGCGTGCATGTAGTCCTATCTACTCGGAAGTCTGAAGCAGGAGAATCACTTGAACCCAGGAAACAGTAGTTTCAGTAAGCCAAGATTACGCCCCTGCACTTCAGCTTGGTGACAGAGACAGACTCTGTCTCAAAAAAGAAAGAAAAAAGAAAAATAGAGAGAGAGAGAAGAAAGAAAGAGAGAGAGAGAAAGAAAGAGAAAGAAAGAAAGAAAGAAAGAGAAAGAAAGAAAAGAAAGGAAGAAAATATCAACAGAGTAAACAGACAACCTACAGAATGGGAGAAAGCATTTGTAAATGATGCACCTGACAAGGGTCTAATATTCAGGAATTATATGCAACTTAATTAAACACACAAAAAGCAACCCAATTAAAAATGGGCAAAAGACATAATTGGCATGTCTTTGAAAGAAGCCATACAAGTTGTCAACAGACATGAAAAGATGCTCATCATCATGAATTATCAGAGAAATGCAAATCAAAACTACAATGAGATACCATCTCACACAATCAGGATGGCGATTATTAAAAAGCCAGTAACAACAAATGTTGGCGAGGCTATGAAGAAAAAGGTACATTTTTATACTTCTGGTGGGAATGTAAATTAGTTCAGCCACTGTGGAAAGGAGTTTGGAGATTTCTCAAAGAATTTTCAAGCAACTACTATTTAACCCAGCAAATCCAACATATACAGAAAACAAAACAAATCATTCTACCAAAGACACCACTACCTATCATAGCAACGACATGGATTCAACCTAGGTTCCCATCAACAGTGTACTGGATAAAGAAAATGTGGCATATATACACCATGGAATACTGCACAGCCATAAAAAAGAATAAAATCATGTTTGCAGCCAAATGGATGGAGCTGGAGGTCATCATCCCAAGCGAATTAATGTAGGAATGCAAAACCAAATACTGCATGTTGTCACTTATAAGAGGGAGCTGAGCATCGGGTACTCATGAACATAAAGACGGCAATAACAGACACTGGACACTACTAGCACTATGCCTACTACCTGGGCCAGGAGAGCAGAGGCACTGCCCTCTCCCACTGCCTACAAAGCCCTGTGTGGGCAGCAGGCCAGGCATGGCACAGTCCATCCTCAACTCACCAGCAGATGCTGTGGCTCCTCTGGTGACTGTACAGTCACACCCATTGGCTCTGTAAGCTCCTGATCTTTGATTTCCGGCTCAGGGACGTGGGTGGGCTGTGAGTCTCTATTACTCAGGGTCTCGTTGTGGGCATTGTCCTCAGCCCCAGGACCTCATGAGGGACATAAACACCAGAAAAAGACCTTGGGAGGCAAACCACCCACTTAAGTTCACACCCAGGGTTCAGGTTCAGAGTCCCCAGTACACAGCTAGACCTTCCATCCCCAACCCCTTCCAATGAGGTCACCCAAGGCAGCTGTGATTCAGCACATTCAGGACCTACTGCTGAGGCAAGGCAAGTGGTCACCCCGTCCCCAGGGTGCAGGCTGTGGGTGTGGGTGTCACCCAGGCTGCAGGAAGGACAGGGCTGCAGCATGGCCCACAGGTCTTTGTGGTTCTCAGAATGACCATGTGTCCCCCACAGTCAGCCCAGAACCCCCAGGCCAGGTCAGAGAGTCAGAGCCAACATGAGGACAAGGGATTGTGCCCACCCGGGCTCTGCAGTAGATGGGAAGCTGTTCCTGAACCCCTGATCCCCCAGTTCCTGGAGAAACCAACTTACTCTGAACACATTTGGGGTTCCCTCCACCACCTGGAAGAGAAGGAGTCTCCTTAGCAGGTGGGGAGGGGCCATGCAGTACCACCCTCCCAGAGGACAGTGGGGGGTAGGGGCAGGCTGGGGGCTGGACACTGGACAAGGAGCCCTGGGCCTGGGGCAGGAATAGGACCTTGCAATTCAGGGACACCCTGAGGTAGTGGAATAGAAGGGGAATTACCATAAAAACAAACGTGGAAAATCTGTTTTCTGCTCTGATGAAGGCTGAATAAAATCCCTGACCACTTCTCATTCTGACCCTTGTCACCTAGTTGATAAGCTGACTGCCCCCTGCCTGGCTGGGCCTGAACATGGGAAGAACTGGCCCTGCCCTCCTGGACTTGGCTGGGAGATGAGGAGACCCCCAGCCCTGGGAGAGGACTGGTGAGACCAGGGTCCTGGGGGGTGTAAAGGATGTGGGGATGGGGTGATCACAAGGAGGAAGATGGAGCCAGGCTGGAGACACTTAGACTAGGGGCAGGGACAGGCATTTCTGTCTCTGGGAACCAAGTGGGAGAGGGCAGGGCAGAGAGTGCCCAGTGCTCCGCCCTTAGCCAGCACCTACCTGAGCAGATGAGTTTCGGGAAAGAAGTGAGTTTCTTCCAAAATAAAATCATGTAAACAGCCGGGCGCGGTGGCTTACGCCTGTAATCCCAGCACTTTGGGAGGCCGAGGCGGGTGGATCACGAGGTCAAGAGATCAAGACCATCCTGGTCAACATGGTGAAACCCCGTCTCTACTAAAAATACAAAAAATTAGCTGGGCATGGTGGCGCGTGCTTGTAATCCCAGCTACTCAGGAGGCTGAGGCAGGAGAATTGCCTGAACCCAGGAGACGGAGGTTGCGGTGAGCCGAGATCGCGCCATTGCACTCCAGCCTGGGTAACAAGAGCGAAACTCCGTCTCAAAAAAAAAAAAAAAAATCATGTAAACAAACACAACCACAGCCACAAACAATATGACCCCTGTGACAATCTGTAGGATGTAAGACACAGAGGCAGGAGTCCCCAGGCTGGTGGTCACTGTCTCCTCCGCAGCTGGGGTTTTTCCCAGTGGAACTGGCAGCTGATTCATCAACGCACTTGATGTCGCTCCAGCATGTATAATCCCTGACCTTGACCATCCCTCTGGGGCACCTGGGTACACACAGGGAGGGAGAGGGGACTCTTGAGGTGAAGCTGGCCAGGTGGGATGAAAGAGGAGTCACCCTCCTGCCCAATGTCCCTGAGAAGGTGTCAGGGGAAGGACAGGCTCCTCGTGTCTGCAGGGCCCCACCATGCTCCCTGGTTGAGGGCTGGGGAAGGGTCTGAGCATGCGCACTTCAGCCCCTCGGCCTCCCTGCTCTGGGGTCAGAGCTGCAGCTCCAGGAGCCTTCTGTGCTGGGCACACACTGAGCTTCCCTGGGCTGCAGGGGAGGCCTGCGTTAGGAGGAGCCGCACTCCAGGGGAAAATCACAAGCCCATGTGGCCAAAAGCTGAGCCCCATCCTCCAGTTAACCCACAATACAAGTGAGCCCTCGCCCCTCCCTGTCTGCTGGTTCCTCCCAGTCACAGCAAACACTGGAGGGCCAGAGAAGAGCAAATTACTCTTAGCTCTTAAAACGAATAGGAAAAAGAAGGACTTACTGAGAAATCAGAGGCCAGGGGCAAGGCCAGCTGGGTGCGCTCAGCTCCTCATGGGACCTTAAGAGAGCTCCACCCATGGCCTTACTATGACTCTCGTGGGCTGGGGGCACTTTTGTCTTTATGGGTCCCTGTCTGCATAGAAAATACTAAAAATTACATTCTTTTAAACCAACTTGGAATAAGGACAAATACAAACCAAGCTGGATTTAAGTGTCTTCTTCTGATTTCAAAAGGAAATCACATTTCCTAGGTCCCCTGAAAAGTATCAGGGGACCTGGAAATTTGCCTCTTATGCCCAGTGAACACTTCAGCCTGACCAAAGGGACTCGTGCTGGGGAGGAGTGGGAAGGGGCTGCTGCAGGGGCCAGGGGTGGGGACAGGCAGATGGACCAGGAGGGGCCACCACAGGCTCAGGAGACCCCACAGGCTCAGGGATGCCTCATGGGGCTGGAGGCTCCATTGGGTCAGGGGAGAGAAAGAGGTACCAGGTGACTTGGGTCTTCTTGGGTTCCTGAAAGTTGTCGGGGGCCCCCTGGCTGCTATGTCACCTTATGTGGCACTTCCAGCACATCTCAGTGGAATTGTCATTCCGGAAAGTTCCTGGCTTGCACCGACACTCTGTCTCTGGTCGTGGTGCAGGGACTTAGCTCTTCTTCATCTGATGCCAGAGCACAAGGTTTTGGCAATGAGTTTCCCTGACATGTCCCTTGACCCTTCCTCACCACCCCAACCCTTCCCACTTTGCTCAACTCAGTTTGCCAAGGAGTTCTGAGGGCCGGTTCTACACCAGCACACTCGGGGCTCGTACAGGACACCCAGCCTTCAGCTGTTACCAATACTCAGGGTCATACAAAAGGACCATGATTCATTAATTATTACATCAGATTAGGGGAAAAGCATCGTTTGGATCACATGGTCAGTAGCAAGGGAAGCGCAGGGCATCACTGGAGAGGCTCTGCAAGGAGAGAAGCCCTTGGGTGACTTCCGAAAAGCCTGGCCTTGCTGGGGAAGAGGGAGGGGCCTGAGAACCTGAAGGCTGAGTGAGGCCGAGTACCTGCCAGGAGCACAGAGCCCGGGGAGAGAGCCTGGTCCTGGAGAAGATCCATGCCAACACTAAAACCCAGTCCTGTCCACTCGGCCAGGAGTTCTCTGTGCTGTAATCATGCCCCCACCCCCTTGCAGCCAGTAGTTTAGAAGATTTCCCAGCCAAGTGGCATGTATTATAAAAAAAGATTTCTATTTTTTTTTAATCATCCAAAGTCACAATCATGGAACAGGGTATGATAAACACCAAGCTGGGCTGGAACTTGGTTCCCTGACTCACATCGGCTGCAACTCCCGCCTCATCACTCCGCACGCCACCTCTGGGCAAGGGGTCCACACATTCTGTACCTGATTTACAAACTGTACATAGGAGGCAGGCAGGCAAATTGTTGGAGACATTGGTATAATCCACACCCTCTGTGCACCCGATACAGGTTCCAGTATGTTCTGATCTATGAGATCCTGGGAAGGGAGAGGAAAGCCAATGAATATCCACAACACTGTTTTTCAATATGTAATCAGTATAAATCTCACAGAATTCCCAGAGGCTGACAGTGGCTGGGAAACTCCTCTTTTTGCCCTCAGTGGAATCAAGACAAGGAAATCTACTCTTCCAGGCTTGGTCTTCTCATTAATTCTGCATCTATTACATACCTTTGAGTGGCATTGCTGAAAGAAATATAATACAAACCACATAAGAAATTCAAATTCCATGAGAACCATATTAAAATAGTAAAAAGAATGAGGTCAAGTTAATTTTAACAATCTATTCCGAACCTAAAATATCTAAAACACTACCCTTCAATATGTAATCAATATAAATCTTTGAAGTATTTTACTTTTTTTAAAGATGAAGTTTCATTCTTGTTGCTGAGGCTGGAATGCAGTAGCACAATCTCGGCTCACTGCAACCTCTGCCTCTCAGGTTCAAGCGATTTTCCTGCCTCAGCCTCCCAAGTAGCTGAGATTATAGGCACCCACCACTACGCCTGCCTAACTTTTTGTATTTTTACTACAGACAGTGTTTCACCATACTGACCAGGGTGGTCTCGAACTCCTGACCTCAGGTGAGCCACAAACCTTGGCTTCCCAAAGTGCTGGGATTACAGGCATGAGCCACCATGCCACCCCCAGTCTATTTTTTTTTAAATAAATAAAATAACAAAATAAAATCCAACCTCTTCTACATGTGATCTGCCCACGCTGCCCACCTGACCTGTCTGCTATCCACTCACTACAGAGGCCCTGTCTTTGCTCAGTATCCCCCAGCCCCTGGACCCTGGGCCTCTCATTCCTGAGGAGGCTACTCAGGAGCACTGTTTCTGGCTCTCTGCAATGCTAGCCCTGTTCAACTTTGGATGTTGGCTAAAATCACCATCCCTGAGAGGCCCCACCAACCTGGTCTCTGTCTCACCCATCACTTAATTATTATTCATGGTTCCTATCAGGAATTTCTGATTGTTATATTAATCTGTGTATCAATACTACCCCAGAAAAAAAGGTTCCATAAGGGCAGGGCCTCGTTTTATTTTAGTTGTTGTTGTTATTGTTGTTTGAGACAAAGTCTGGCTCTGTCACCCAGGCTGGAGTGCAGTGGTGCGATCTCAGCTCACTGCAACCTCTGCCTCCCGGGTTAAAGCAATTGTCCTGCCTCCGCTTCCCAAGTAGCTGGGACTACAGGCACATGCCACCACACCCAGCTAATATTTTGTATTTTTAGTAGAGACAGAGTTTCACCGTGTTATCTAGGATCATCTTGATCTCTTGACCTCATGGTCAGCCCATCTCAGCCTCCCAAAGTGCCGGATTACAGGCAGGAGCCACAGCACCTAGCCGAGGGCAGGGCCTTTTATAATCCCGATTAGTATGGTGCCTGACTCACAGAAATCATCCAACCTATCCCTATGGAATAAAGAAACAGAAAGTGCAGGAAACAGAAGTCTAGAGGGACATAGAGATAAGGGCATGATCAGCGTGAGCTATCAGTCTTAGATTGTGCCTTCCGGCTAGCGCTACAAACCCAGGATCCTGGCCCACCTCCACAGACTCAGCTTCCAGGTCTGCCCTAGTGCCACATCAGTCCCCATGAACTCACGCTCCAGGCCCTTCCCTGCGGACCTAGGGATGGAACCCATCACAGCACCTGGCTGACATCTGCAAACTTAAGTTCAAGGCCCACTCCAGTGCCAGTTCAGCACACATGGACACAGGCCTCAGGTCGCCTCTCTGGATACAGCCTCTGACCACCCTTGAACCACACCACAAGGCCTGCCCAGAATCTGTGAACAGGCTGCCTGGTGAAGGGCATTCCCTAACAGAGCCAGTCTGTAAAGACTGGAATAAATCCCTGCTGCTTCAAAGCACACATTCCAACACATTGCCACAGGCTGCTGAGCAATCAGGGAACCATGACAGCACCAAAGAAACAAAATAAAGCAGAGGTAACTACCCTAAACTAATAGAGATTTACAAAAGCCTGACAAAGAATCAAAAATACGCATCTTAAAGAAGCTCAGTCAGCTACTAGACAATACAGACAGACAACTACGTGAAGTCGGAAAAACAATACATGAGCAAAATGAGAAGTTTCATGTACATACAGACACCATGCTAAAGAACCAAGCAGAAAATCTAAAATTCAACAACAGAATATCTGAACTAAAAAATCCCACAGACAATATCAACAGCAGAGCTGATTAAGCAGAAGAAAGATATCAGTGAGCTTGAAAACAGATCATTTGAAATTACCAAGTCATACTCAGGAAGAAAAAGAAAATAAAGAATGAAAAAGAGGGAAGAAAGCCAACAGTACCGATGGTTACTGTGAAGCAAAACAATATATGCATTATGCTGCTGTAGGATGTGTTGGGTTTGGGGTCAGGGAGATGAAGAACAAATTGCTATATCAAAAACCAATTAAACAAGGAAAGGAATTATTAATTGGGCAAAAGATGCTGTGGTATGATTGGGTTTTAAACAACTTACATTGGGCCTAAAAATGGATGTCAAGGCAGCAACTCTTATATAAATTTATGACACTGGCGAAAGATTTAAAAAATGTAAAACATTGATGAAAGAAATGGAAAGTGACACAAATAAATGGACAGTACATGTTCATGGATTAGAAAACTCAATGTTGTTTAATCATCCATACTACCCAAGGTGATCTATAATTCACTGCAATGCCTATTAAAATTCCAAAGACATTTTTCACCAAAATAGAGAAAATAATTCTAAAATTTGTATGGAAATGTAAAAGACCTCAAATAGCCTAAGTGGTCTTAAGCAAAACAAACAAAAAGAACAAAGATGAAGGCATTATACTACTTGATTTTAAAATATATTGCAAATGTATAGTAATCAAAACTGAATGGTCATGGCATAAACAAAGATAAATAAACTGATGGAATGAAAATAGTGAACCCAGATGCAAATCAATGCATTTACAGTCTACTGATTATAGCAAAGATACCAAGGACACAAAATGGGAAAAGACAGTCTCTTCAATATACGATGTAGAGAAAAGTAGAAGTTAACATACAGAAGAATGAAATAAGACCTTTATCTCACATCATATGTAAAAATTAACTCGAAATGGACTAAAGATTAAACATAAGCTCTGAAATTGTAAAACTACTAGAAGACATAGGGGAAAACCTTCATGATGTTGGTCTGGGCAATGATTTCTTGGCTATGAACCCCAAACCACAGGCAACAAAAGCTGAAATAGATGAGATTACATCAGACTAAATAGATTGTGCACAACAAAGGAAACAATGAAGACAGTGAAGAAACAACTACAGAATGAGAGATCAATATCCAAAAGATCCAAGATTTTTGTTAATATCCAAACTACGCAGGAACTCAAACATCTCAACAGCAGGCAATCAAATAATCCAATTAAGATGGACACATGGGCAAGGGGCCTGAATAGACCCTTCTCAAAAGGAGACATAGAAGCAGCCAACAGATACATGAAAAACATGCTCAACATCACTAATCACCAGGGAAATGCAAATCAAAACCAGAAATATCACTTCACACCTGTAAGAATGGCTACTATCAAAAAGACAAAAGATAACAAGTGTTGATGATGATGATGGGGAGGAAAAGGAACGCTGGTACACTGTCAGTGGGAATGGAAATTAGTACAGCCATCATGGAAAACAGGATGGAGGTTCCTCAAAAAATGAAAAATAGAACAACTATATGATCTAGTCATCCCACTATTGGGTGTACATCCAAAGGAAATGACATCAGTATGTTGAAGAGACATCTTCCCTCCCATGTGCACTGGAGCATTATTTACAATGGTCAAGACAAGGAATCAACCTAAGTGTCCATCGATGTTTGAAAAAGTATAGAAAATGTAGTACACAGACACAATGGAATACTATTCTGCCTTACCAAAGAAGGAAATTCTGTCATTTGTGACAGCATGGATGAACCTGGAGGATACTATGCTAAGTGAAATAAGCCAGGCACAAAAGACAAACACCTCACCATGTCACACATGTGGAATCTGAAAAAGTTGATCTCAAAGAGGTAGAGAGTAAAATGGTGATTACCAGGGCTGGAGTTAGATGGTGAGTGGAAGAGATGTTGGTCAAAGGATACAAAATTTCAGTTAGATGGGGAGAAATTCAAGAGATGTCTTGTGGGGCATGGTGACTACAGTCAATAAAGTAATGTGCTGTACACTCCTTCCTTCTACTCACAGGGAATATATTCCATGGAGCAAACTCTGCACGTACTCAACTCCCTGTTATAAACTGGGATGGTACTGCATATAAGCCAGGCACATATGCTTTAAACCATCTCTAGATTACTCGTAATACCTAATACAATAGACGTGCTATGTAAATAAGTGCTATACTGCATAGCCTTTTATCTACTTTTACTGACGGATTATCATTTTTATTGTTTTCTCCCACATATTTATGATCTGTGGTTTGTTGCAGCCTCAGATGCAGAGCCCACAGATGAGAAGGGCAAACAGGTCTTATCCCAAGGCTCTGGATCTGTACAGTTGAAAATTGCTAAGAGCAGATTTTAAGTGTTCTTACCACAAATACACGGTAAGTATGTAAATTAGCTGGATTTAGGCATTCCACAATGCATACATAGTTCAAAACATCATAGTGTATACCATAAATATATACAATGCTTATCTGTCAAATAAAATAAACAGATTTTCAAAAATAAGAGTACACCTGGTGGACACTCCTCCTTGAGGCTGTGCCTCTGTTGCTGTGCGGCCACTGCCAGCTGGGGAACTTGATCCTGCCAGAGGCTGGGACAGTCAACTTGGACCTGTGGGGATAAAGCATAGATGGGCGTGAGCAGCTTCCAGACCTCACCTCTCCCAGGCTCCATCCCACATTCCCTTCACCCCAAGTGACAAAAGCCATCAGAGCTTACACCTTTTTTCCAGCTCCGAACCTTCATTCTTTTGTATGCGTGTCTGTCCCTTGGCCTGTTAGGGCAGCTATTTTCTATAAAGAAAAACACGTCTGTATCCTTTCCTCATATTGTAACATAAAGTACCTTTACCCCAGAAAATGTGAGCAAGAAGAGTTATTTCTGTTTTTCTTTTGATAGAGTCTTGCCATGTTGCCCAGGCTGGAACGCAGCGGCTATTCACAGGTGTGATCATAGTCCACTACAGCCTGGAACTTCTGGCCTCAAGTGATCCTCCTGCCTCAGTCTCCCAAGTAACTTGGATAACAGGCACTTACCACTGTGGTTGGCAAGAAAAGATTTTATAAGAATAATAATAACAATAAACTACATGTGAGCCCCTCAAGCAGAAATAGCATCTAATATATTTAGTTTGACCAAGTGTTTAATTGACCAGTGGGTGAATTCTGTCTCTGTCTCTCACACATACAGACACACACATAAACATATACATTTTTACAAATGACAGTTATATATAACCCTGAAGAAAGTCAGGCTATAGCCTCAAACATTAAGTCATTAATTTCTGCTTTACAAAGGGCTTTGACAAACTGTTCCTACTAAATATCAAAGTGTCACAGAAAAAGATGAAATTCAGGGATTTTGGCCATGATCTCTGTGCTATAAATGACAACTAGAAGACAACTAGAGAAATTGGAACACAGTCTGCGTATTAGACAGTGGTAATGCATTGATGTTAATTTCCTTGTTTGTAGAAAGTACACACTAAGCAATTCAATAATAGCCTTCATCAGGTCAACAGCTATTATTCAAATGGTTTTTTTGTATACTTTTTGTAACTTTTCTTTAACTTGGGAGTCTTTTAAAGTATAAAATTAATTTAACTGTAAACAGATCTAATTACATTTTATATAATTTTGCCTCTGAGCAAAAACAAAAAGGTTACAATAAAAGCTACTTATGTTGGGCTCAGTTCAACTGCCTGGATCTAAACAAGACATACCATAGTGTTGGTCCACATCAAGGCCTGTCAAGTAGTTGTTGACAGTGAAGCTAAGGCATGTTTCCCAAATCCTTCCTTCTCGGGCTGGGCTCCCTCTAGGTTCAGGCAATGTCAGCGTCTCCTTTCTCTGCTCTCACAGTCTTACTCCCTCTCATCCAACAAAGTGTTAATTAGGTTGGGGTTTTTTTTCCCCCCTTTCTGAAGACCAACTTTTCATTTTGTCAATTCTTTTTTTTATTATTTCTTTCTTTGATACGAGGTCTCCCTCTGTCAGCCAGGTTGGAGTGCAGTGTGGTAATCTCTGCTCACTACAATCTCTGCCTTTTCTGCCTCCCAGGCTCAAGTGGTCCTCCCACCTCAGTCCCCCAAGTGGCCCAATTACATGGGCCCCAATGCCCATGTAATATTTGTATATTCTGTACAGCTGGGGTTTCGCCAGGTTGCTCAGACTGTTCTAACTCCTGAGCTCAACTGTTCTGCCTCCCAAAGTACTGGAATTACAGGATTACAGGCATAAGCCACCACACCACAGTCCATTTGTTCAATTCTTTTTGTTGTTTGTATTCTATTTCCTTCATTTATGTTTCCAAAATTTATGTTTGGCTTAAACTTTTTTTTTTTTTTTTTGAGATGGAGTCTCACTCTGTCACCAGGTGGGAATGCAGTGGCATGATCTCAGCTCACTGCAACCTGCACCTCCCAGGTTCAACCGATTCTCCTGCCTCAGCTTCCCAAGCACGTCATCACACTCAGCTATTTTTTGTATTTTTAGTAGAGAGGGGGTTTTACCATGTTGGCCATGATCTCAATCCCTTGACCTTGTGATCCACCACCTCAGCCTCCCAAACTGATGGGATAACAGGCGTGAACCACTGCACCTGGCCTGTTTGGTTTAAATTTACACTTATATTTTATGATTGATTAGTGTACATGTTCAGGCCATAGATCCTATTTTTTTTTCTTTTTTTGACAGGTTTAATGAGACACAATTCACATAATTATGATTAGTCATACAAATTCACCCATTTAAAGTCCACATTTCAGTAGTTTTTAATATACTCACAGCTATGCAATCATCACTATAATCAATCTCAGAATATTTTCACCACTCCAAAAAGGAAATGCATATCCTTCAGTAGTAACTCCCCATCTCCCCAACCCCCACTTCTCTCACAGGAACACTGCTGGATATTTCACCCCCACACTGTTAGCCACTTCCCGCCAGTTTTCATGTTATATTGTCCTTGTTATTTATTTTGAAATATTTTACCTTCCCTTTTGATTTCTCTTAACCATAGATTTTTTTTCTAGAAGTGTGTTATTCAATAACCAAATTTTAGAATTCTCTATGGATACTTACTGATTTCCAGTTTAGTTTCATTAAGCTTAGAGGTCATTTTGTACGTATTATAGCCCAGAACCTGGTCTATCTTGGCAAAAGTATCATAAGCATAGGAAAAAAAAAAAAAAGAATCTTCAGTGGATGTTCTACTCCTGCTCTTTAAATGCCAGTTATATCAAGGTGGTTGATAGTGTTCAGATCGCTTGCCAGTTAACTAGCTGGTGTTCTCATCGGCTCATTCTATCAATTGCAGAGAAAGGGCTGATTTAATCTCCTTCTCATTCCATTTTTGCATCATGTGTTTTTAGGCTGTATTACCAGGCATATACAATTTGTGGTTATTATTATACTCCTTGAAGAATTCACCTTTTTAACTACAACAGTCCCTTTTGATCTCCCATAATATTCTGGGTCCTAAAATTGCTACAGTAGTCAGGTATGAGCAGGGCAGGAGAGAGCTCCCAGCTTCTGACACTAGCAGTTTTGGGTGACCATCAGGTGGTCCTTAACTGTTTCTCTAAAGTATTGTTGATTCCAGAAAAAGGCAGTCTGCTAATACAAAGAAAACACCTGAAAGTGATCAGCAGCTTCCCAATAAGATTTTTAAAGTGGGGAGAAATAAGGCAGGATCCCTGAAGTGTGCCAACCTATCAATCCCCAAGTTGGGAGGTCAGGCTGTGCACTTGGCTTCTCAAGTCACCTGCTTGTCCATCTTCCAAGTTGTACTTTCCTTCTTTTCTTTCCTTTCCTTCCTGTTCTAAAGCTTTTCAATAAACTTTCACTCCTGCTCTGAAACTTGCCTTCATCTCTCCTTCTGCCTTATGCCCCTCAGTCCAGTTCTTTCCTCTGAGGAGGCGAAGAGCTGAAGTTGTTATGGACCCCTACGGATTCACCGCTGTCAGCATAAGGTAACTCAGATCTCATCCACTGCTAACAAAATCAATTTCATCTGACATTGACATAACCACAGCAGTTTTCCTGGCCTTACACTTTTTCCATCTATTTACTTTCAACGTAGAGCATCTGTGTGTCTTCAAGTCCCCTCTCGTATAGACAACATATGGTTGAGCCTTGTTTCTTCAGCCCTTCCAAGCATTTCTAACTTTGAACTGTATTGTCCAGTGGATTTACAGATAGTGCAACAATATAGTTGAGACAGACCTGTACATTTCGTATTTAAGCTACGTCTAGTCGAATTTTTTGGCTCCTTTTTCCTTGCACATTTTAATGTTAATTACCTTTTAGAATCCCATTTTAATTGGATACTGACTTTATATGTATACATATTTCTATGATCTATGTGCAAGAGCTATAGGGAATACAGTATAAACTTAAGTGCTTATATTCTATTTAAGATTTTTTAAAAATAGATTGAGGTATAATGGATATGAAACAAAGTGGACATTCTTGAACTAGGTAGTTTGGTAGACTGAGATGTATGTATACACTGTGGAACTGTTACCGCGAGAAGATAATGACATGTCTACTGCCCTGCAGTGTGTCTTCATTACTCAGTGTAATCCTCTCTTCTGCTGGACCCCTATGTCCCCAGCAATAATTCTTCTGCTTTTTGTCCTAATAGATTAATTGCATTTTAATAAGAAGAGGAATCAAATGGTATGCATTCTGCTTGGATTTTTTCACGACATGATTTTCTGTGTGTGTGTGTCTGTGTGTGTGTGTGCTTTTTTAGACAGGGTTCCACTATGTTTCTGCAAGCGGTCTTGAAATCCTGGGCTCAATGGATCCACCCACCTTGACAGGAATACAGGTGTGAGCCGTCGCACCCTGCCCAGCCTGGCCTATTGACTATTATGAATTAAAGGCCATTGAAAAACAGCAGGTGCAAGAAGATCCTTTTGACCTCTTTTGTGTTTCCTAAAAACAGGAGATGAAAGTCCCCAGAGAAACATAGAACAGCCTCCTTTTAAGGATGACAAGTCGAGGCTAAGAGAGTCCTGTGCAGCCCTTGCTAGAATAGAACCACTCTTACCTTTTTAGCCTTCCTCATAGTTACTTGCTTCTTCACAAGTTACTTGGTAACTGACTCTTACTGCTTTTTCTGTGCCAGGTAAAACTTGCATTAAATAAATCTGTGTGTTGGTCGGGCATGGTAGCTCATGCATGTAATTGCAGCATTTTGGGAGGCTGAGCCGGGCATATCACCTGAGCTAAGAAGTCCGAGACCAGCCTGGCCAACATTGTGAAACCCCATCTCTACTAAAAATACTAATATTAGCCAGGCATGTGGCAGGCACCTGTAATCCCACCTACTCGGGAGGCTGAAGCAGGAGAATCACTTGAACCTGGGAGGCGGAGGTTGCAGTGAGCCATGATTGCCTCATTGCTCTCCAGCCTGGGCAACAGACCAAGACTGCATCTCAAAAAACAAAAAAACTATGTGCTTTTCTCCTGTGCACCTGTCTTATGTCAATTTAATTCTCACTCTCAGCCAAAAAAAGCCCTTAAAGAGGAGGCTGGCTTCCCTCCAGGACCCTCAATGGTGACTATAACCAAACAACAGCCTCAGGCCAACAAAACCACATCCTGTGGCTCACACCAGTGCAGCCTCCCTCCAGCACGGCCTCTCTGGAGGAGGGGAGGCAAGGGTGGTGAGACCTCAGGCCTCTCTCATGCCACCTCCTATTAGTGATATGATCCCTGCTGTCACCTCTCCCACCACACTGTGGGCTCCAGGGAGCAGGATTCACATGGGGCTCATTTGTCCTCCCTGGCTCCAGCAGACTCCAGGCACAGGTGTTCCCAGAGTAGAGGGCTCACTGTCTACTTCCTGGATGAATCCCTTTCCCCCAAGCCCATAAGGTGAGTGCAGTGGTGGCCTCAGCTCACTGCCTAAGGACAGGCTCCAGGCTATGTTACAGGGAAGGGACCCCAGAGAGCCTGTGGACTCTGCTGAGCAACCATAGGAGCTCCCAGAGGGCCAAGTACAGGGCAGAGATCTGGAGAAGCAGCTGCTCAGAGAACTCTAGCCCTGCAGAGGCACAAATATGGCTGCTGTTATACAGAAGGTGAGGCCAAAAATGCTAGAGACACTGCTCCTGAATCTCATTTTTGCCACTTTTAAAACAGAGAAAACAACCTGCCCTCCTCTCCCTGGGTCGTTAGGAAAATCCACCACATGAAGATGTGCAGTCTCTGGCTGGGAGTAGGACACCAGCTGCCCAACAGCACAGGCTTGAGGCCTGGCACTGTCCCCACTGTCCCCACCTCCAACCTGGAAGCTAGGGCTTCGCTGCCCTGCCACTCCTGGATACAGACAGAGAGGATCAGAACTGGGACTGTAGCCCTTCTGTATAAGCTGGGTGAGCAGCCATCTGGGGCCACGTGGATGGAGACCTTTCCTGCTCACTCTTCAAACTGCGACCCAGGAGTAGAACTGGAGGCAAGGCAGGTGAACCAGGCTGTGGCCCTGCAGCACCATCGCTGCCCTCTCTTGAAGTCTGGCTCCTCTGTTCCTCCATGGCCCCTCCCCACGGCGCTCCACCCGAGTCTTCAGAAGCTTCTGCCCAAGCTCAGGGAGCCCATACTGAGGTGCAGGTAGGAGCAGGTGCAGCCTCTGCTGGGTGGAGGACACGTGCCCTGAGGATCCAGTCCAGAGAGACTGACACCAGCCCTGAGGATACGATTTGTCCTCCGACACCTGCAGACACAGCCCTCTGAGGTTTACACAGGGCTGCTGAAGATTTTTATCTCCTCTTCATTTTACAAGCAGGAGCTGGGGCCACACCAGAGTCACAGAGCTGGAGGGAAGCATGGTAGGGCCCAGCTGTTCCCAGCCTCCCATCCCAGGAGTCCTTGACAGCCTGAGAGTCCAGGATTCTGAGATGTAAGAACTTCTGGATTCCTACTTAGAGAGAGAGGAATGACCTCTCTAAGAGATGACAGAGATTGACAGAGTCAGGACCTGGGTCAGGAACTGAGCTCAGCTCCAGGCTCACCTGATGTCATCCTGACAGCCTGGGGCCACAGACCTTATCTCCATTCACAGGCATGGCAGGTGGCAGGGACTGGCCCCAGCTGACCACGGTTTCTCAAGCGCACAGCTGGGAATTCAGTCTCCCTGCCGCCCTCCCCTGCTGTCTCATCTGGGGTCTCCAGGTCATGTACTCCCAGTACATTTGTGAACATCTACAGAAACTTCTGAAATCATTTATCCCATAGAATTAGAAGTAAATTTCTACTTCTAAAGAGGTGCCCAATAAGCTGGTGCACATGGACATGTGGACACACTATACATACGAAGGTATTTAGAACAATGCTGTTGGAATTAGCAAAGTCAGGATGGGATCTCACCAGCTGCCCCTAGGCGGCAGCAGTAAATTAAACTGTGACTCACCCACGCACTAAAATACAATACCCTGTTAAAAAGAAGATGAATCTGAATGTACTGCCATAGAACATCTAATGTGATTTGTGTTCGCTCCAAATTTTTAAAAGCAATTGTGCACTGAAATGCATTTATGAAGGCAAGACTGATGGAGGGATTAAAGCCTCCTTTGGGACATAGAGAGCTCACATTCCAAAACTGAAATTCAGGCTGCTGACCTGTGTACACAGGTCACCCACACATTCTGTCTTCAGGACCACTGTCCTGACACAGCCATTCCTTGAGCTGCCTTCAAGGAAGGTCCACCCACTATAAACTAAAGAAGTTAGTTGTGTAATTTTTGACAGGTGAAAATGATACTGCTTTTCAGAATTTAGCATTAATTTATTCAAAGAAAACATGCAAATGGCCCCACTCCTCCCCCTGCCGTTTTTGTTTTTTTTTTTCTGTAAGGGATCTTAGAAAGTGCTGTTGGCAAAAATCTCAATCACTCTGGAAAAGTTTTGGAAGTCTGCACATTTTATTTATTTATTTATTTTGAGACAGAGTTTCAGTCTGTTGCCCAGGCTGGAGTGGAAATGGCACAATCTTGGCTCACTGCAACCTCCACCTCCTGGGTTCAAATAATTCTCCTACCTTAGCCTCCCATGTAGCTGAGATTACAGGCGTATGCCACTACACCCGGCTAATTTTTTGTATTTTTGGTAGAAACAGGGTTTCGCCATGTTGGCCAGGCTGGTCTGGAACTCCTGACCTCAGGTGATCCACCCGCCTCAGCCTCCCAAAGTGCTGGGATTACAGGCATGAGCCACTGCGCCTGCCCTATTTATGTATTTAAATTTTATTTATTTATTTATTTAGAGACACAGTCTCGCTGTCACCCAGGCTGGAGTGCAAATGGCGTCATCTCAGCTCACGGCAACCTCTGCGTACCAGTTTCAAGGGAATCCCTTGCCTTAGCCTCCTGAGTATCTAAGATTACAGGCACCTGCCACCATGCCCGGCCAATTTTTGTATTTTTTAGTAGAGACGGGGTTTCACCATCTTGGACAGGCTGGTCTTTAACTCCTGACCTCGTGACCCACCCGCCTCGGCTTCCCAAAGCGCTGAGATTACAGGTGTGAGCCACTGCACCCGGCCCGTTTTATTTATAATATGTCCTTATTGTGCACACCACTGCCAATCTCAGTTTCCAAAGCCAACTCGCAAAGAGAACTTTATTTACACCGTTTATGCTGAAGGAAGGGTCAGCCCCGGCTCCTACCTGTGAGAGGCAGAGGAGACACACGGGTGAGAGTGGAAGACCCTGACTGCAAGGTTAAGAGCTTCCTACCCTTGCTGACATTTTCAGGTCAGAGGAAATAAAAGTTTTTTTTTAAAAAAAAAAAAAAAAAAAAACAGCGTTGGAAAGCTTTTTCTTTTCTTTTCTTTTTTTTTAATTAATTAATTTATTTTTAAGATGGGGTTTCACCATGATGGCGAGGCTGGTCTTGCACTCCTGACCTCAGGTGATCCACCCACCTCGGCCTCCCAAAGTGCTAGGATTACAGGCGTGAGCCACCGCGCCCGGCCTGGAAAGCTTTTTCAATGGGTGTCGAATCAATCTCCGAGCGCGTTTAACAATGTAAACATAGGGTTACTGTTCTTAACTAAGTAAGTAACCAAAGAGGCAACCGCTTTGTGGCTTCCAGAGGTTCATTCATAAGTTTCCATACTGACTTTTCATAAGTTTTTCATAAGTTTTTTCATAAGTTTCCATACTCCTTCCATTGATTCTGGAACTCGATCCTCACCGCACCTGAGAACGGGGGTGACCCCGCGCTCTGCTCCTCCATCGCGGCAGGGTCGCTCGAGCCCAGCCCCGAGACCGAGTTCTGCCCCCGACTCCAACGAGGTGTTCGTCCTGCCCGGACACGCCCGTCTACAGGCGACCAGGGTCAGGATCTTCGCTTCGTCCCCCTCCCCCTCTCCCCCTGCCCCGGCCCAGCCCGCTCACCGGCAGCAGAACTGCGACGACGAAGACTAACTGAAGGGTCCTGGGGTCCCGGAGCCATAGCCTGGTTCCAGACGCCGTCCTGGGTCCTGGGTCGCGCCCTGCTGGAGCCGTCGAGGCGGCCTGGACGCTCTGTCCACGAAGATCCATGAGAAGGAGGAGGGTGGAGGCACTTCGCCGCCGAACTTTGGGTCAAAAGCCCCAAAATCAATCAGAAAGCGTCCGGAAATCCTCCCCGTAGCTCGTGCCCGCGGAGAACGTCCCACACCTGCTCTGCGCGATGGGAGTGGAGCGCAGCATTACACCCCGGGGACGTGGTCACCTGTTGTCACTCCCCGCAGTCCCGGGACGGGTGGTTGTGGCCGCTGCGGTAACCCAGGGATTATGGTTTGATTCTGGATCCTGCCCAGGCTGGACAGCACAAGGGGAAGGAGGGGAGGCGCCTCCCACTGAGCTGCTGTAATGGGGTAGTGAGGGTCAGAGGCTGCACTGGAGGCCCGTCCTGAGCCTGCTCCCTCCACGGGACGCCTGCCTCTCCTCTTCCTAAACCCTGATCTCCCTCCCGGCCTAAACACTTCGGTCCACTCAGCGGCTGCTCCCACTCCCTCCTCCCACAGCCGCCTCGCTGACCACTGCACTCCTGCCGCTGCTTCCAGCCCCCTTGCTGCTCCCACCCAGCTCTAAGCTTCTCTGGCAGGGGCCTGGCACTCCTCAGTAGGGGTGGGGGTACTGCTCCAGGCTCCCCCTGCTTCTCACCTGCCCTGCCCATGAGCTCCTGAGCCTCACTTGAAGCCCTGGGCTGTGAGCTGTGGCTTGAATCCTCCACAATCCTCCAGTCTCACCTTTCCTCTTCTTACACTTGACCTTGCTTTTCCTCCTGCTCTATTCTCCCATTTTCCTCTGTTTTCCCCCAAGCCAGCACGAGGTAGGGCTCTCTGTGTATGACATTTCATTATAGGTGACTCCAAATGTCAGGAAAAGGGACTCTGTGCCCTTTCTCCTGACATTAGGACCCTGCCCAAAGCCCCCCTCCCCCAGAAAACATACAGGCAATAAACATCCTGTGAGTCCCCTCCAAAGATGAAGAGGATGGCCTGTGTGCTCAAGATGGCAAAGGTGAGAGTCCAGTGTCGGGCTCCACCCAAATACCAGCCCCTCTCCCCAAATCCTCAATCACCAGTGTGCAGGGGGAAAGAATTTCTGAATATTTGACAATACATCTTTGGCCACATTTCTGATCACATGCATTAGTCAACTGCCTAGAAGAAGTAGAATATCAGGGTTAACCCATAGAGGTGCAAACACACACACACACACTCACACACACAGAGCTGTGATTCCTACTGAGAATGTGTCACTTTAGATCTGACATCACTGCTCTTTTGTTTTCATTTTTTCTAACTAGGAAAGAATTAACTGACTTGGATATCCATTTCTCTGACTTGTGTTTCATATATTGATCAGTAGTTTAAACTCCTTTAAGTTCATTTTTTAGAATTTGTGTTGTCTGGAAAGACAGGCTTCACGCTTCCCAAATACTGAGAACAGATTTCTGTTTTTTATTTGCCTATTCTTTTTGTCTTAGATTTTAATGTACAGAAATTTTAAATTTTAAGTAGTTAAATCTATGGGTGCACTTTTGTTTCTTGGTCGTAAGCTTAGAATGTCCATTGCTCAATATAAAATAAGATGAACTTCTCTAATTTCTTAAGGAGGTTTTATTAAATCATTAGATCTGTAGCATATAGTGATGTAAAGTCCATGGACATTACTTCTGATGTAGAAAGTGTGACATTGCCCTTAATTTTGTTGTGTTACTCTCATCTGTCCAACCCCAGTAAGCGACTGATAATTCCCTTCCTCTCAACCTTGTGGTTTATGGTGTTTATGGAAGTTTCACTCCGTAGGCAGGAAAGTGTTAGTCATTTCCGGTGCTGAATTCTCAGGCCGTCTCCAGGCTCTGAGCTGATAGGTGTGGCAGAGCTGAAAGCGCCGGTGCTCTGATTACGTGGTTGGTTCCAGTGGCAGCCGCACCCTCTCCTCCAAGAGCCACCTAGTGAGCATCAACTCAGGAATGCTGGAATTCGTTTTAAGATTAAAAAAATAAAACCCCTCTCACCACAACTGTTCAGGAAACATCAGTGTTTTCAATCTTTGTCCCCAAAACCAGGAGCAGAGAAAAAAAAAAAAAAATAGATGTTTCTTATTATGTCCCAGCCATGAATACCTGGAAGGAGGATCACTGGGGCCATTTCAGAAGCAGCTTACCACCGGCCCCACGTGGGCGCAGGGGAGAGAGGCCTTTGCCTGGAGGATGGACAGGGAGTGTGACTGACAGTGTTTGCCGATGTGAGTCGCTAGACCCTCTCTCTTCTGGTGGTCCCTGAATCAGAGCCTTCGCACTACATATTGGAGTCTGGATGGCCTGTTTGAGGAACCTGTCTCTCTACAATCATTAGATTTCTGCATGAAGATTTAGCATAAACTCCCTGTATAGGATAAAACCATTTTTTTTTCTTTTTTTCTTTTTTTGAGACAAGGTCTCGCTCTGTTGCCCAAGCTGGAGCACAGTGGTGTGACCTCAGCTCACTGCAACCTCTGCCTCCTGGGTTCAAGCGATTCTTCCCCCTCAGCCTCCCAAGTAGCTGAGATTACAAGTACCTGATATCATGCCAAGCTAACTTTTGTATTTTTGTAGAAATGGGGTTTCGCCATGTTGGCCAGGCTGGTCTTGAACTCCTTATCTCAGGTGATTCACCCACCTTGGCCTCCCAAAGCCCTGGGATTACAGGCATGAGCCACCACACGGAGCTGAATTTTCTACAAAAATTCATATCATTGTCAATTGTCCTCCTGTTCTAAGAACCAGAATAGGAGAACAATTTTGCTAAATGGCTCTCAGCCCCCATTGAGACGATATGATGCTTGCTTATTGATACTATTAACATGGTACATTATTTTTGAACACATTCACATTCTCAGAATAAGCTTTTACTTTAGATTTTCTGAAGTACCCTCATCTATATGAATGTCATTAGTCTCCTAAAAGCTGGGGAGGAGGTAGCTGTGTCTTGTTGGAATGGTGGAAATTGCCTAAAAGAAGCAGAAAGAGACTTTATGGGAATGGAGGATATTCTCTGTCTTGATTGCATAATGGTTACATGTGAGTATATAGCTGTCATAGAAGAAGTGAAACACTTGAGAAGTGAACAGCTGAGGTTGTGTGCAATGGCTCACACCTATAATGCCAGCACTTTGGGAGGCTGAGGTGTGCAAATCATTTGAGTCCAGGAGTTCCAGACAAGACTGGGCAACATGATGAAACCCTACCCTGCTAAAAATACAAACATTAGGCTGGGCGCAGTGGCTCACACCTGTAATCCCAGCACTTTGGGAGGCCGAGGCAGGTGGATCATGAGGTCAGAAGATCTAGACCATCCTGGTTAACAGGGTTAAACGCTGTCTCTACTAAAAACACAAAATATTAGCCAGCCATAGTCTGAGCTACTCGGGAGGCTGAGATAGGAGAATCGCATGAACCCAGGAGGCAGAGGTTACAATGAGCGAAGATCGTGCCACTGCACTCCAGCACAGGCGATAGAGCGAGACTCCATCTCAAAAATAATAAATAAAAATAAATTTTAAAAATTAATACAAGAATTAGCCAGGCGTGATAGTATCTCATCCCAGCTACTCAAGGGCTGAGGTGGGAGGTTTGCTTAAGCCCAGGAGACTGAAGTTGCAGTGAGCTGAGATTGCACCACTGTATTCCAGCCAGGGTGACAGAGCAAGCCCGTTTTTTTGGTTTTGTTTTGTTTTTTTAAGTGAACAGTTTACTGCATTAACTTACATCTCAGTGAGCAAACAGGGACAGAGAATCTGTGAGCTCTGCAGGATGGGAGGTTTATGATCATTCCCATGGACACCAAAGAGAAGACCTGGCATGGTCCTGTGGCTGGCTGCTTCTCAGGGTCACTACTGGAATCCACAACTCCTGACTCTGATCAAGGGGCTTCTCCACTGATCTAAAGGCTGAAGGTTCTCAGGTGAAAAGGATGAATGAAAATCAATGAATATCACTTGTTTCTTTATATGTTCTTTAAATGAGACTGTACAAAACATAGCCTCGTATTCTTGGCCCTCTCTCTCTAAGGAGAGTGGTGTGTAGTGCGGCGCACACACATCTTATTGAATCACTTGTGAAGGAAAAATAAATCTTGGGACTATAAAATCACGAAGCCAAAGGGAAAAGTCAAGCTGCGAGCTGTGTCAGGCAAACCTGCCTCCCATTTTATTCCTAAATAACATAGCTACAAAGTATAAAAAGCCACATACCGCCCTCACAATTCCCCCATGAGGCAATTCTTTGTGGGCCTCAAGATCCTTACCCTAAAACAGTTCTGCCGAATTTCATCCCGGCAATGTACCTTGATAGCTGATTTTCACAGGTGCAGGACAGAAAGTCATCCCTCTGCCCACCTGAGACAAATGTTTATCTGATTGCCTTGCCACGCTGTTGTTAATGAAAAACGCAGATTCTCTGAGCCAGACTAAGGTATGAGTGACTATTCCTCTACCTCTACCCTTTTACGTACAAGTTGTGTATTCAGTGAAAGGCTGATCAAAGACCCAGAAGCACGAAAACTTTTGTCTCTTATCTCCCTATGACCTGGAAGCCTCCACTTCCGGTTGTCCCTCGCTTCTGGACAGAACCAATGTACATCTTACACCTATTGATTAATGTCTCATCTCTCCCTAAATATATAAAACAAAGCTGACCCCAACTATTTTGGGCACATGTCCCGAGGATCTCCTGAGGCTGTGTCACAGGCATGTCCTTAACCTTGGGAAAATAAACTTTTAAAACATTTTTATGGGCTGGGCGCAGGTGGCTCAAGCCTGTAATCCCAGCACTTTGGGAGGCCAAGGTGGGCGGATCACGAGGTCAGGAAATCGAGACCATCCTGGCCAAAACGGTGAAATCCCGTCTCTACTAAAATACAAAAAAATTAGCCGGGCATGATGGCATGCACCTATAGTCCCAGCTACTCAGGAGACTGAGGCAGGGGAATCGCTTGAACCTGGGAGGTGGAGGTGACAGTGTGCCAAGATTGTGCCACTGCACTCCAGACTGGCAAGAGAGCAGTCTCAAAAAAAAATCTTAAAATTTATTTCTATATTTATTTTTGAGACAGAGTCTGGCTTTCCTGCCCAGGTTGCAGCGCAGTGGCAGGATCTCTGCCCTCTGTAATCCCCGCCTCCCAGGTTCAAG